ACCCCACTGTGCTGCAGTTCTGGGGTCAGGCAGACCAGGAACACCCAAACCCCAGTATGGTATAAACCTAAATTAATTATGGGGCCCTTGCAATTTTTTCTGGAGTCAGTCTTGCTGTGAAAAAAAAAAACCCAAAAAGACAAAGGATTTGAACCCAGGGTACGGAGGAACTGTAGCAATATTTCCTTAGAGGGAACACTGACAATTTTAGCAGCACAAACAGTACTCGTGTTAATATTTTAGCAAAATTATAATCAATTTAAATGTTTAAATTGATTGTATGTGAGATAATGTTCGTTCGGTACCTTGTATTTTTTCTAACTATATAACTGTTCCAGAGTTTCCTTGTAACCATAAAGAACTAAAGCTCTGTCTGGCTGTGGGACACACCCTGACCCCTGGTGTAACCATGCTGAGTATTCCAACAGCCCAGTGTCCCTGCCAAGGCCTGGCACTGCCTTTCTTTCCTCACCCCACCCCACCCGGTGGTGCTGGGACGCAGAGGGACTTGCCCACGCAGACCCCACGGCCCCGGGAGCGGCGGTGACACGGGGACAGCTCCAGCAGCACCAGGGGCCTTGCACGGCTCCCCAAAAATCACCCAGCCCTTTCACCTGCAGCTGGCACGGCCAGTGTGCAAGGACCTGGCTGGGGTTGGCTGGGCAGGAGAGGAGGAGGAGGAGGAAAAGGAGAAGGAGAAAGGAGGAGAAAGAGAAAGAGAAAGAGAAAGAGAAAGAGAAAGAGAAAGAGAAAGAGAAAGAGAAAGAGAAAGAGAAAGAAAGGAGAAGGAGAAGGAGAAGGAGAAGGAGAAGGAGAAGGAGAAGGAGAAGGAGAAGGAGAAGGAGAAGGAGAAGGAGAAGGAGAAGGAGAAGGAGAAGGAGAAGGAGAAGGAGAAGGAGAAGGAGAAGGAGAAGGAGAAGGAGAAGGAGAAGGAGAAGGAGAAGGAGAAGGAGAAGGAGAAGGAGAAGGAGAAGGAGAAGGAGAAGGAGAAGGAGAAGGAGAAGGAGAAGGAGAAGGAGAAGGAGAAGGAGAAGGAGAAGGAGAAGGAGAAGGAGAAGGAGAAGGAGAAGGAGAAGGAGAAGGAGAAGGAGAAGGAGAAGGAGAAGGAGAAGGAGAAGGAGAAGGAGAAGGAGAAGGAGAAGGAGAAGGAGAAGGAGAAGGAGAAGGAGAAGGAGAAGGAGAAGGAGAAGGAGAAGGAGAAGGAGAAGGAGAAGGAGAAGGAGAAGGAGAAGGAGAAGGAGAAGGAGAAGGAGAAGGAGAAGGAGAAGGAGAAGGAGAAGGAACAGAGGAGGGGGAGAAGGAGAAAAAGGAAGAGGAGGAGAAGGAGAAAAGGGAGGAAGGGGCTTGGGCACCCAAGGGGCCTCCTGGAAGGCAGGACAGATTGCTCTGTGATTAAACCAGAGCCAGGAATAACGCGTCCAGCCACATCAACAGGTACCTCAAGGAACCTTAACCCTGCTCCCTCTGGCACCGAAAATGTCAGTACCCGTCCCTGCTGGGGTGGCACTGGGAGGGACCAGGGCTGAGCCAGGGGCTGGGGCTCTGCAGGGAGCAGGTCCAGGCAGGCAGCAGGTCCAGGCAGCCCACCCTGGTGAGTTTTTCCAGGCAATAGCAGAGGGTTTGTGGCCGTAGGCTCCCTGCTGAGGCTGTGCCAGGAGGGCAGGCTGGGCCCAGCCGTCAGGCCCATGGCACCCCAGTGCCAGCAGGGCCATGCCCCTTTAAAGGCAGAGCATGAGAGGGTGAGTCCTGGCAGTGGTGCCACATACTCCTCACACAAAATCCCCTCTGCCAGCCCCAGCAGCCCGTGGTACCCTGTCATTGCCCATCAGTGTGCCCGGGCCTGTGGGCAGACGTGGCACAGGCTGCATCTCCGTCTAACCTGCAGGCTGATGGTCAGAGGATGAGCTCCGTGGGTGTGGCAGCTGTAGGGGGTTATTGGGGTCTGAGGATCTTTAATGTTCTTCCTGCTGCTCTCTAAAAACCGCTTTCTCCTTTCTCCAGTGGCTCTAGTGCCCTTCCAGCCGCCCAGACCTCGTCCTCCAGACTCGAGCAGGGTGATGCTGCTCTGGGCATGCCCAAAAGCTGTGCAGTGTTAGCACTGAATGGGAGTGCAGAGCAGAATCCAAACGATCCCACAGCTCTCCTGGAGACGTATTCTGCCAAAGCACCTTGCTCTGGGAGGCTCTGCTGCAACAACACAGGAATTTCTCAGCACTCAGTTACACATATTTAATCACATTAAAAGATTTGAATTGGATTTTTTTCCCAACA